TTGTTCATTTAAAAAAAAATAATTTGTTGACTGCACCACTACCATGGTCCAAGATTGTAACACAAAAGACCCATAAAAAATGTGTGTGGTATTTACAAACCAGACTGTAACAGCAGGGTTTTAAGGTCCTGATTTCTAAATCAATCACATGAATCCAAAGTACAAAGTAAGAATATGAGGTCAAATTCTGCTTTCACTTACATTGGCATACAGCCAGTGGAGTTATTCTGGATTTACACTGGTGTTACTGGAAGCAGACTTTGACCTGTGGAAATTAAAACCTTATTGGAATTTATTGCCACAATTTCCAAAACGGCTTTAGGATTTTAAATCTGTTTATTACCTTATAAATTAATACAGTATTTGAAAATTAGGAATGACATCATTTTAAAGCAAAAAGATTGCCCATTTAACCCACTCCCATTAACACCACAGGAAGAATGTGACAAAGTCATACTCTTGAGGTGCTGACTCAGGTTTTACTTTGTCCTTTATCTTTAGTCATGCAAGTTGCCATTAATTAGTCTGTTATTTTAGGTATTAGAAGGTCCTGTTAGAAAGATGGCATCTTGCAACCTCCTCCATCTCTTTACTTTTTTACTATTGTTATTGTTTTCTCAAAATGTATAAAACAACGATGAGATTTTAAACATTAATAAATAAATTTTTTGAATTAAAGTGTAAGTAAGTAGTCTCTTAAGAAATTTTGACCACAGTTTTCTAGTGTGCTTTGTGATTAAGGGCCAGATCCAAAGCCCATTTAAGTCAATAGAAATCTTGTTATAATAGCCTTGGACTTTGGTTCAAGCTTTAATGTCCCAGTTCAATACAGAATGTCCCAGTTCAATACAGCCCTTAAGTACGTGCTTAACTTTAAGCACAAGAGTAGTGCTTAAAGTTTTAAACACAGGCTTAAGTGCTTTGCAGAATAGGAATGGGGCTAGTCACATGTTTAAAGCCAATCACATGTTTAAATATTTTGCTAATTGGGGCCTATGGGACCAGTTCTGCTGTCTCCGGCAAAAACTTACTGAACTCAGTGACTTTTATTCCTGAATAAAAACCAGAGGATTGCAGAGTATCATGCATCTGTAACTGAAGCGACAAATATTTTAGCAAATAGTGTCCTGTCTATGGTTCCAATCCTGCACTGTGTTTGATGCGGATAGACCCCCATTGCAGTCAATGGAGTTTTGTAATAACACTTTTAAAAGCACGTCTAGAATTTTTCCAATGTCATCCCTTTCCTAAAAACAAACAAAAAAACCCCAAACCACCACCAACCCTTTTTAATGCTCCATTAAAAACATTTCTTGCTTGCTGGTCTCACTTTTTACTTTAATACTCTTCTGGCACAGTTTCAAATGGAGGAAATGAAACTGGCACTTTGCCTGGTATTTATTGGTAGTTGTTTTCCACTGTCAAGCAGTAACAGAAAAATAAAATAGATCTGTCTTTCCACATCCTTCTTCCATGACAATATGACACCTGGAATTTAAACTATAGCATGATACTTACAACTTATACTGTGCTCCTGGGGATAAAATCCTTGGAGGCGAACAAGATGAATTCCTCCATCTATCATGAAATATGGCATATTTCTCAATGATCTTTTGCATTTTTTTCCACACTGCTTATGAGCAACTTGCAGTGGAAAGCACAAATAAATCACATTCTTTTAGGTTAAACATTTTAAATTAAAGTAACCAGTTTCTTTCTTCTGTCAAAATGTTGCATTTAAAATAAGTTGAATATATATATATTTAAAATAACATTTAATCATAAAATTAAACTTCAGTCAGATATTTTAAAGTACGGTGAGTCTTCATGATTACAATCAAAACCAGCAATTACCTATAATACACATTCCATATTTGTATTTCCAATAACAGGGTAGTGTAGGTGAAAGCTTGACCCTCTTGAAGTCAATGGAACCAGGATTTCACCTTGTATGTCATAGTTTCTAGTGGTGTGTTCTCTCCGAATCTTGGTCCACATCTTATCCTTTATGCATATTTGTAGATGCAGAATAGAAGACCAAGAAAACTCTGAAAGGTTTGCCTAACAGTTTCCTTATGCTGCCCCGAGGTTATGCCTATACTGCACAGTTAACCTGGGTGCTTGGCGCCTAGATTTGAGCACCCAGGTTAGTCTAGCATGGGGGTGAGTATCCCCATTGCGAAGTGCTAACTGCATCACTGTGTCCTCATTGTTTCTGCATCACGTGTGTGTGTCTGGGGGCATATCCCATGATTCTTTTTGCGGAGACACTCTAGGATTCTTTCCCAGTCAATTGTGTTAACTGCTGTAGAACTTGTCTATCCTTTGTGGGGTGAGGGGGTGGGAATGGGAAGGCATTGGAAGACTATCAGCACTTGTAGCCTGAATCCTTACTACAAAGTGGGTGGGTTCCAACCCAAGTTACAGTGGAGCTCTGGCTCTAACCTACACCCCTCAGCTGGATAAACTAGCTCAGGCTCCGAGTCAGAAGATTGTGTGTGTGTGTGTGTGTGTAGACTACCCTCAGAAGTGAGAGATTTGGGGTGGGAGGCTACGGAGAAGCAGTGATGCCTTTAATCCATGGGGATTCTAAAGCTCTGTGGGGAGAGGAAACTGTGGGTGTGTCTAAACTGCAAAAATCACCCACTGCTGCAAGTCTCAGAGCCCAAGTCTACAGATTTGGGCTTGCAAGGCTTATGCTACGGCGCTAAACTAAAAACAATGTTCCCATTGGGATGTGGACTTGCCCTCTGAAACCTGGCAAAGGGGTTGGGTCTTGGAGCCCAAGTGGGAATGCCTACAATGCTATTTTTAGCTGTAGCATGAGCCCAAGTCTGTAGACCCAAGTACTGAGATATGCTGCCGGTAGGGTTTTTTTTTTTTTTTTTGGTCATGTAGATGTACCCTGTGGGTCTATGGGGAGTCATCTTCTCACTGGTGATGGCTGAGCCTTCTTCCTGTGCAAGCTGTGCTGCCATTTGCTCTTTTCACAGCACTTTGTGCCTGTGCAAACAAGGTTGCAAGCATGAAGCTGGTATTAATAATGCTTGCAGCAGCTTAAGACTTCTATAGATCTCTGCTGGACTGATAAGGAAATATAGAATGATGCTACCCTGGCTTGCTATTCTTCAGAGCTTCAACCCTAGCTGCTGACTCACCCCTATCCTTCCCCTCTTCTATGGGCCCCACCCAGTTCTGCCACTTTCTGCTTCCTCTGGTTGCCTTAATGAAGGGGAGAACATAGGCCCTAAATAGGTCAATGGAACTGCTATGATATTCGTGAAAGCATATGTATCTTCCACCTGCCCCCTTTTATATTCTCTCCATAGGGAAAAAATAAGCAGATAAGACAAATCAGTTACACACTGAACTAAGTAAGTGGTTTCCAGCAGCAAGGCCTGGTCCCGATGCAGACAGGTAGGAGAGGTCACACATTCCTCCGGGCCATTTCATACTCCCAAACAGTGCCAAAGAGAAAACAAACTTCCTAATGAATAATAAACAGAACCTAAATCTCCCTCTTAACAACAAAAGTTTCTTTACTCGTTTAACAGAACTGATGGTGTTGGCAGGAGCTTACTGATTTTTTTTTTATTTGTTTGTTAAAGTGTGTTTTAGTTTTCATTTGGATTCTCCTGACTTTTGAAATAACAAAGTCTTTATATTTATTTATATAAACACCCACAAGCAAAAATACACCTACTAGCTACATTAAATCTGAAACGAAGTCCAGCTCCCTAACTGCAGATCCTCATTGCAGCCCCAACCACACTGTGCATACTGGCAAATGGGAACCCTGGAAATGTAAATGGTGATGATTACACTCATCTAAACAGGAAGGACTTGTGATGAGTTCTGGCAACAGTTACAGAGATGCAGTGACTGGACACATTCTCTGAGAGTTCCTACAGGTGGGTCCCATTGCTGAGAGCCTAAATCTAACATTCTGGGACCTCTGATAAAGGACAGTTCAATTTACCCGAGTTACGTTGGTGAGATGAAATATATTCCTGCAAGAACCCTGTTGTTAGTACCAGTATTCTCCAGAGACATCCAGGACTGATTGTAATTTCCATCCACTTTAAGATTCCCGTGCACTTTCAGAGCAGTGTTGAGTATAAATGAGAACCAGGCCCATCCATGGGGCAAAACACATTATAATATGGTTTATTATATATTACTTATGTGGATGGAAAATGTTATAAACATTTCAGAGAGCCATGCTTTAGCCTACATTTCTGCCATGGTTAAAACATGGCTCTCTACTATGTTTTACCGTGTTGTGGGTATTTTTTTGTCCATGCAGCCAAGGATAAATAGTATTATAACAGGGGTTGTCCACTAACACGTTTAAATATGGTTATTTACACATAAGATGACAACTCAGTAATGATTGTTTCAGTTGAGGGTTTTTTTTAAATATCACTAGAGAAGCCTGGTGTTTAATATTTATAACAGACGGTTATCTATGCCGCTGGTTTGCCCCGCCTTTCTCGGGCTGCAACGTCAGCTCTTTATTTTGTGCTTCTTTCTAGTAAGAAGCACTCACGTGCAAGAAATGGCTTTGGGGGGAAGGGCCCCAAACGGAGAAGCAGGGTGTTTGCCTATTTGTACCCGAGCAACAAGCTGGGACAGAAATAGGCTGCACGTTCCTTTGCTCTTCTGTTTCCTTTCTAGCGCTTTTCCTCGGTGCTGGAAACCGCACAAGCCACAGGTTTGTCACCAGCAGGCTGACAGATCACTAAGGGGCTGGTTTCAGTGTGCGCGGTTCTGCTGCTCTGCTGCAGCTGGGGATGGCTGGTTCCTGCCGCCTCCCTCAGGACTCGGCGGCTGAAGTGATTGTGGGCGGACTGGAGGGCCGGGAGGGGGGGACCAGAGGGTTGGAGCCGGGGTGCGCTGGCCGCTTGCGGGCGGTAGGGGTCGCTGCCCGGCGGCTCTTCCCCTCGGGTGAATAACGGGGCTGGCAGGAGAGAAAGGAAACGGGGTGGGAGTGGGGGAGGAGGGCGCTGAGTAAGCGCACAGAGCAGCCTGGGCAGGAGGGAGGGTGCACCCAGGTGAAGGGCCGGCCCCCTCCGCAGAGAGAGAGAGAGAGCAAATCAGAGAGGGGGAGGGAGCGGATAAGACAGCGGCGGCCAGGCACCAGGAAGGGCTGAAGTTGCACCGAGTAGCCTGCGCGCCCGAAGTTTGGGAGGCTGTGGCGGGACTAGACACAAGCCCAGCCTGAGTTTGCGGGGGAGCGGGGCCAGGCAGGCTCCAGCTGCAGGAGGGGGCAGGGCCGCAGTGGGGCAGCAGCTTCCCCTCTCACCCCCCCCCCAGGCCGTGGGCGCGGAGCGGCGGGTTGCGTGCCAGCACCGCGCGCCCCGGGGCAGCGCGGCAGAAGCGCCCCTGTAGGCTCCCCCGGCGTGTGTGGGAGCAGCCTCCAGGATGTACCATGAGGAGCTGCAGAGACCCCGCTATGGCTGTAAGTGCCTGCACGCCGCTCCCGGCCGCGGCCGCTGGGTTACGCGGGGGGCTGCGGTGACCCTGGTGTGCGGGGTGAGGGCTGTGGCTGGAATGTGGAGGCTGGGGTTTAATAGCCTCCCCGGGGCTGAGGTAGCAGCTCCAAGCCCAGCGCTGGGAGTCAGGTGAGTGGCGGCCCCCTGCGCCCTGCAGTGCCCCAGAGACAGACACGTGTGCGGGGAAAACGCAGCTCCCTGCGTGCGGAGGGGGCAGGGCTCGGCTCGCTGCTAGGCTGCCGCCTAGGTACGCACCTGCTGGGGGAGGCGAGTTACCTGCGTGTCGGAAATAGCGCGGCCCCCTCCCCCGGCTGCAGCAGGGGGTTTAGTCCGCCTTGTGGGTCAGGGAATCCCGGGCGGATTGCACAGGTGTCCGCCTCTAGCCCAGCCAGGCAGCGAGCGCAGCCCAGCGCCATGCCCTAGTGCGCTCTGGTTTCGGTGGTGTGCCCGAGCAGCCAGGCGCTGGCAGGAGCTCTGACAATGAGTGACTGGTGGGATTACACAGTGAAGCACGTGGCCCCGGGCAGGGGTTCAGAGTCCTTCCTTAGCGTGAGCCAGGAAGTGGCTCGCAAGGGGGAAGAGTAGAGCACCTTTCAAACTGACAGTAACCCAGAGCGGCCGAGGGAGGAAACAGCAGGGCGAGAGTTAACGACGAGTAAAGAGCGCAAATCTGTAGGCGCTTAGACCTGCTGCTAGGGCGGTGGTCACATGTGCGTGAGGCGTGGTATTGGCAGTGGTGGAAAAGTGATGTGGAAGGGCCATAGAGTGAGTGGGGAACTAATGAAAGGGACATGAAATCTAGTCAGTTAAAAGAACAATGTTAAAACCGGTTTTGATACTGTCTCTCCAACTCTCCTGGGTTTACACCACATTTTCCTGTACCCCTTTTTTTTTCGGGGGAGGGGGGGCTAAAGGAGGAAGTTCTTCACACCCCAACAGGTGTGTGAAGAGGATGGGGGAGAACTGACTATGCATCCGAAGAAGTGAGGTTTTTACTCACGAAAGCTTATGCCCAAATAAATCTGTTAGTCTTTAAGGTGCCACCAGACTCCTTGTTGTTTTTGTAGATACAGACTAACACGGCTACCCCGATACTTGACGATGCACAAAGTAAACAAACTGGACAATTTCATATACATGTTTTCTCACCTTTGTTTCAGTAATCTTAGGTGTTCTAGCAATGGTAGGTAAAATAATTACATAGACTTCTCTGAAGTTTTGTTATCATTGGCCCTATACTTGAAAGTACTATTATGCTGCTTGTATTGATGTGCTGATATTACTCAAAGATGAGTGATAGAATTACCCTGGTTTTATACATCTTTCTTGACTAACAATCTGAGAGATTTCTCCTCTGCATTGCACATCCACTAATGTCATATATGCCATCATATGCCAGCAATGCCCCTCTGCCATGTACATTGGCTAAACCGGACAGTCCCTCCGCAAAAGAATAAATGGACACAAATCGGACATCAGGAATGGTAACATACATAAGCCAGTAAGTGAACACTTCAATCTCCCTGGTCATTCTATTACAGATTTAAAAGTCACTATCATTGAACAAAAAAACTTCAGAAACAGACTTCAAAGAGAAACAGCAGAACTAAAATTCATTTGCAAATTCAACACCATTAATCTGGGCTTGAATAGGGACTGGGAGTGGCTGGCTCATTACAGAAGCAGCTTTTCCTCTCCTGGAATTGGGAGAATTCCCCTCATCTATTATTGGGAGTGGACTACATCCACCCTGATTGAATTGGCCCTGTCAACACTGGTTCTCCACTTGCGAAGTAACTCCCTGCTCTCCATGTGTCAGTATATAATGCCTGCATCTGTAACTTTCACTCTATGCATCCGAAGAAGTGAGGTTTTTTACTCACGAAAGCTTATGCCCAAATAAATCTGTTAGTCTTTAAGGTGCCACCAGACTCCTTGTTGTTTTTGTAGATACAGACTAACACGGCTACCCCCGATACTTGACTCCTCTGCATTGAAGAGTGAAATATAAAAACCACTGAACCTCTTAAGGTTAGTTTCATAGTCCAATTTAGCCATATGAAATGGTAGCACTAGTGCTATCCCCTTTCTAGCATTAAATAACATCTGCAAAAACAAAAGACTTCAAACTTCTGAATGTTCTAGGAATTTTGTTTTGTTTCAGTTGCCACATATAGAATCGGCTCAGTTTGGCTTACTTATTTTCTGCTCTTTAAGAGCTGGATGGTTAGTGTTAATATTTAACAAAAGAAAATAATGCTATAGGATAGATTTTCATTTGTCTGTATTTATCAGTTTAATAGTAAAATGTGGGTTTTACAAATATAGCACTGCAGCATTAACCATAAACTGGAAGAATTACAATTCTGTATGGGTATTATTTTATAATGAACTATTACATGTTTTGAATGCTTTTTAATACAGTTGCCTTCAAATCAAAAAGTTTCAAACAGCTAGTGTTGGCCACAGGAAGAGTGTAATGTAGCCTGCAAAGATGTACAGTATATATTTTTTTAAGGTTGCGTTAAACTTAGGCTCCCAATTGCATACTTTAATGTACATAATGGTTCTGATCTTTGTTTCAAAGGGAACTGCTGGTGTTTCAGCACTTTTGGAAATCAGATCACTTATTTACTGCCTAAATAAGGATTTGGGAGGCTAACGTTCGACAACCATTTAAAAAAAAAACCCTTTGGCATAATATAACATCACTCTTCTGTATTCATATTTTGTATTCTGCTCTGCTCTCTCCCCTGCCCTCTGAGTCAGATATTACTACTTTCTTTTGCATCCTTTCAGAAATCTCTCTCGTAATATTTCAGACAAATACATGCTAATGTGAAAATTTGCACAACTCAAAACACTAATCAATCCTAGCTTTATGGTCTGATACAGCTTTCCAGATTTTAGCATGGCAGCTCTGATTTGTTCTGTGGTCTGCAACGTCTTGAGTTTTTCATGTCCTTATGAAGTTATCAGACACAGACGTCAAAAGACCTCTAGCCACAGGCTAATATAAAAGGTGGGGTGGGGTGATGACATCCTGCCAAAGATGTTATTTGGCAGTGTCCTACTGAGAGCTGAGCCAGCTAAGCCATCATGATTTCTACCTGGGAGCTGTCATTGGATCATTTTTGAGAGCTCCATCTCTCTCTTGCATTAGCCCCTAGTTAATAGGTGTGTGGTAAATATTTAAAGCCCTTTTCACTGCTGCGGATACTGATGATGTGTTTTGGAGTGATTACCAAACACATATGAAGAGGGATGGTCCAGTGGTAGCGGGTAAGCCTAGTACTTGGGGATGTAGGTTGAAGTCTCTACTCTGCCACAGGCTTCCTATTTGACCTTGGACAAGTTGCTTATCCTTTGCCTCAGTTTCCCATCTGTAAAATGGGAATGAGTACCTCGGAGGGGTGTGAGGATAAATATTTTAAAAATTGTGGGGTGCTCAGTTACTGTGGTGATGGGGGAGGGGGCATATAAGTACCTTGGATATAGATAAGAAATGAAACTAGTCCTACTTTCTTCTGTAAATTACTTTCCTGGGACAGCTAAGCACCCTATACTGGGCAATGGATATATTTACTCTGATGGGGAGCAAGTGGTGGTTCATTGCTATGCTTCCTGCTTCCTGATGGTGAAAGGTACCAGACTGATAGCCATGGTAGACTAGCTTTTAGATCCAGGGGTTGGCAAACTTTTTGGGTCGAGGGCCACATCTGGGTTGGGAAATTGTATGCAGGGCAGGGAGTGCAGGGTGTGCAGGAAGGAGCTCAGGGCAAGGGATTGCGGCAGAGGAGGGGTGTGGAGTGCAGGAGGGGGCTCAGGGCAAGGGTGCAGGAGGGGTGTGGGGTGCGGCAGGGGGCTCAGGGCAGGGAGTTCGGGGTGGGGTGCAGGCAGGGTTCAGGTTTTGGCCCGGTGCCACTTACCTAAAGTGACTCTGGGATGGCAGCGGCGTGCACGGGGCCAGGGCAGGTTCCCTGCATGCCTGCCCTGGCCCCGGCCCCGCGCAGCTCCAGAAAGTGCTGCGGCCCCTGGGGGAGGGAGGGCAGAGGGCTCCACACACTGCCCTCGCCTGTGGGTACCTCCCCCGAAGCCCCCATTGTCTGTGGTTCTGCATTCCCGGCCAATGGGAGCTGCAGGGAGTGGTGCCTGGAGGCAAGGGCAACACATGGAGCCCACTGCCCCCTTGCCCAGGGGCCACAGGGAAGTGGTGCCAGCCGCTTCTGAGAGCGGCGTGGGGCCCATGGCGCCACGGTGGGCAATCATCCCCCATAGCCCTGAGGGGCCGGATCCAAAGCCCTCAGGGGCCAGATCCGGCCCATGGGCCGTAGTTTGCCCACCCCGTTTTAGATGGCTAGAGGAAGTAGGTATGGCAGACAAACAGAGCAAGCCCTTTGAAGTCAACAGGAGTTACGGATGCTCAGCACATTTGAAAATGATGCTATTTATTAAATATCTGTTAAATTACTAAAATTTTACTGATATTTTCATATATCATTAATGTTAACTAAGATTGCACCTTTCAAAAGCATACTTATTTGTAACCTATACCTATATTGGCGTATGTCTGAGTTGCATGTTTTAGCTATAGCTATTGCATCAAAAAGCAGAGAACCAAAATTTTCAGTTTTAGAGCTGATTTGTCTGGGGGAGCAAGGGGGAGAACAACTTTTAAAAGATCTCACTAATCAGAAAACATGGTCTGGCCTTAGAACTGTAGATGCCTCCATTGTAACTCATGGGCTGCTTATATATAAATAAAAACACACACACACACACACACACACACACACACACACACACACACACACACACACACACACACACACACACAGACGTACGTAGG